ACCCAGCTATTGGTATATTGGACCCATCTTTTAACTAAGGAATAAGGTAGGAAAAGCTGGAAGAGCTGTAGGGGCGTATGGGGCAGTGGCTTGACCTCAAAGTCGCGTGAAGGCATCTCCATTGGAAGGAAGTAAGCCCCGCAGGTTGTGGCCGGGCTGAAGACCGGCCGGCACGTGATATCGTTGGGCTGCTCGCGGCGGCTATTTTCCTCTGTGATATAGCTACCTGAATCAGAGGCGTTAAGTGCCTCGCCGGGAATTGATTGAGAAGTCATAGGTCTCTTCAAAATGATTTCTATGGTGTTTTGGCTGTAATTCCTTTCTGAGAGACCTTCCCGTACCCCGCCCGTACCCTCGTCATTACATGAGAAAAAGTGGGTCCGGTACGCGTTGGGAGTCTTCGCGCACTCAAAGAGATGCTGCCAATTCAACATGTTGTTCTTAAGAGAATCCCCTCTTTCCCTTTTGGGCCACGACGTGGCCTTCTTAATTAGGCCTAGTGTGACGACTATCCGAAGATCACCCGGCCTGACATTGAAGGCACGTGACCACCCTCAGAGCTATTGTACAGGGTCCAATCCAACATATACCTGCACCGGCCGCGGTGCAAGTAAGTAACGTGCCCTGGGCACCAGGGCTAGTGCAACTAAGATGTATTATGTAAGCTAGCGGCACAGAGCCAATCAGAGGTTAACTTAAAATCAGCCACTTAGGCACCTAGACTTAGCCACAGCTACGGGGCGTTGTAAGCTGCCTTTGAGAGCCGCTGCAAGCTATTGCAAGCCGCCTTTGAGAGCCGGTTGCCTCCCTCAGCGCAATAGGGGCTGCGAACTCACATAATATATCTTATTTGCACTGGCCCTGGTGCGCATGGCACGTGACCTATTTGCACCGGGCCCGGTGCAGGTATAACTTCCCGCGTGAAGGGCTCCGCTGAGTCATTTCCATAAACCCCGCCTCGGCTAGACAGGAGCCCGCAGCCCACGCTAAGCATGTCAAGCTATCAAGGTTTGCTGATTAGCTTCTGTCGCTTCTGGTTGGGTGTCGTCGGAAAACGCTCGAGTCAGTCCCGCGAGACCCCACGAGCTCTCAAGCGGGTCCCCCGCGAACCTTGGCGTCGCCAGGAGATCTTGCGCTAAGCCTACCGTAGGCAGAGAGAGCCCCTCCCCTCGTTTCCCCAGCTTTTGCCCCCTCAAATTGTTCCCAAACTTAGTTTATTTGACACTTGTTGGTCCCGTTCTGCATCTTCTCCATCGCGGTCGTACCATCCTACCATCGAAGCTTGGGCATGGCAGAATTGGCAGTCAGCGACGACAACAGCCAGACGAGTTGTCCTGCCCGTATTTCATTTCTTCCTGTCAATGAACCGGGATCTCCCCCCCGGTTGAGAAGACGTCGGGCAGAGATATCCTGCGAGAAATGTCGGAGACGCAAGTCGAGGTGTGAGGTTCCAGATGGCCAATCCAAGGCTTGTCTACGATGTCTAAGGGAAGGCGAAACCTGTGACTTCCGGCCTGTCAAATACAGGCGCAGAGGAACAGCCCAACCTCTGTCACCAGCCGCCAGAACGAACCTCGCCGCGCGTCGCGCGTCAACGTCGGCAGTCAACGATCAACCGGCCGGCTATGCGATGGAACCCGCCGGACCAGAGCACGCACCACGTGTAGAATCAGGGCCAAACCAGCAGCCATGGCTCGATGTTGTCGCAGCACAAGGCGAGACACCATACGAGCTTCGCTCCGACAATCAACAAGCTCCCACACAGGCGCTGCATCCCGCAGATCCTCATGACAGCCCGGTGACCTCAACGGATGGCGCGGCGAGGAGGTTGGACTCGAGGACAAGGATCATCTCGACCCAAGTCGATAATCCCGCCCATGCTCTCGACCTCCTCACGTTTGCTGCGAGCGAGGAGCAGCATTCTGCAGGGTTTCCACCTCCAGAGCAAGGTGGCGCAGCAGAGAACTTGGCGGGGAGCATCTCACAAGAAGACAACGCGCGACCGGACGGTCTTCTCGAGCACGATTTCCGATGGCATTATTTCAAGTTTGTTCAACAACGACTCATCGCGGTACACGAGGCTATCGAGTTTATCGATTTCTTCTTCTCTTGCTTATGGCCACTCAGGCCTGTGGTGCCGGCATACTACAACGACCGATCCAAGTACGTCCTGCTTGCGGTGGAGGAACCAGTGCTGCTAGAAGCAATGATCACACTGGCTTCACGATATCATGTCCTCAGCGGCAACCATGGTCAGATTAGGTCTGAACGGATACACTGGGGGGCATGGAGATCCCTTCAGAAATGCTTGCAGTCGGCAATGTGGGGTTCGACCAAGACGAGGTCGCTGGGGACAATCGCCTCCATGTTACTGCTGATCGACTGGCATACCAAGGCCATCAACAATCCGGGCGCCTTCTCTTCTGAAGATGACAGCTTCGTGTGTGATATGCCGCCAGAAATGCCGGAAAGTGACTCCCAAGCAAGTCCAACCAGCTTGAATAGCAAGCAGAGGCACGGAATGACAGCTCGTCTGGAGAACCTCGGTATCACGTTTTCTGCATACCGAAGCAACAAGATGTCTTGGTAGGTTCGACCTGTTCCCCAGCTACCTCTGGAATTGTCCCCTTGATGCACGTTAGGTTGACACAAGCAGGATGCTCCTTGCCAACGCCATCGCGCTGGCACGGGAAGGTTGCTACTTCGAGGTCGAGACTCGGGGCCTCTTGGATTCCGTTAACAACGACAAGACGGCCAACCGGGACTGGGCCCATGTCATATGCGTCTTCATCTACCTGGCCGATGAACACCTGGCACTCCGGCTAGATCTGGAGCCCTTACTGCCCGAGTCGTCAAGGAAGATTGTCGTTGACAGGCTCTCCAAGATGTTCACCCGTGCGCTGCCAGAGAAGGAACACTGGGAAAGCTACTTTGAACTAACAGAGGAGATGCGAAAGGCTCGAGAATATCTACACGAGCTCAAGCAGACGGCTTCGAGACCCTACAGCTATGACTTGGTGCCTGTCCTCGAGTATACGCAAAGGAGGTTGGAACGCTGGAAACGCCAGTTTGAAAGACTTGGTAAGGGCCGCGCTGTCCATGAGGCAGATTCCCGCGCTGACTAATGCAGATCAATCGTCTCTCCTGAGTGCATGTCTATCTATAGAGTTCGGATATGCCGTGATTTACAGTCTATCCCCCGTCGGATACATCACAGTCCCCGAGAACATCATGGCAACTTCGAACGTTCAGAGTCTTCGGCATGAGACGATACAAGCCGCTCGCAACCTATTGTCCTTGGTGTCTGGTGCACTGGACTCATCTGGTATGCTGCAGCACATTCCAGTGCGTTGCTGGGTTTTCACAATGGCTGCTTCGTTGCATTTGCTGAAGGTTAGTCTTGGGCTTCTCACACAGGGGCTTGCTGAAGGGCTGACTCAGAGCTCCACAGGAAACACTCCGTCACGAGCCCAATGTCACAAATCAAGACCCGGATATGCAGCTACTTCGGAGAGCCGTTGAAGCTCTGCGTCGCGGTGCTCCAGATGATGTCCATACTGCAGGTCGATACTCCCGATTTATTAGCATTCTGCTGGATGCAGTGCTGAGGCCATCCTCAAACAGAGCGGAATCTCAGGAAGAAGCCGCTAGTCTCGCGCAAGCCACGCCAAGGGCTGCTAGAATTTCCGACTTGATCGATGTCAACGCGGCTTTTGACTTGCCGTTGAATGATGTGACGTGGTGGAATGACGCATGGAGCATCTTTTAGCTTCTGTGGCTTGTTCTCGTGACCATGGCCCTGCGGCAGACGGCTCACAAGCTTTGTATGTGATAGCTTAGTTAGTTACCCAACGTACATAACATACGTGAACGCATGCATACATGTACATGGTGCGAAGCAAGTCGACTCCACGCGGGGGTCCGGGATTTCCGCCTTCGAAATCCCGCCGGAATTTCAATCTCGTGTGTTCCGCCGGGTTGCGGGGATCAGAATCAACCGTGCTTAGGTTACCCCGCTTGTCAAAGAGGGCGCTGGTCTCTCGGTCCTCGTCTTCACAATATAACAGATCTGCACTTCTCTACTCTACTCCTTGCATCTGATCAGCAACATACACTTAACAAGCATCGTGGCCATCTGAGTTCACCCATCTCGCTTTTTATTGTTCATTGGCACCATGGCACACCAAAGTCTACCGAAATATACGACGAGTACTACCGTCGTGGAGGGATACACTCGGATCAAGAATGTTTACATCAAACTCCGCGACGGGGTCGAACTATGTGCCGACATCTTCCTGCCGCTTTCGGCGTCTGAGCAAGGCAGCAAGGTCCCTGTAATCGTCAATGTAGGCCCGTATGGTAAGGACATACCTGTCCTTGAATTCGGCCTGCCCAAAACCGACATGTATGTCAACATGTACAAGCTCATCAAGCCGCTGGGACCCGATGCTTCCTTTGAGCTGTTGGATCCTATTCTTTGGGTAAGAACTGCTCGTCCCCCATTGGGCAAAGTGTGGGAGCTGAATGAGCTTTAGACAAAACAGTACGGGTATGCCCTTGTGAGAGTGGACAGCCGTGGCATTGGCGGCAGTCAGGGACGTCTTGATCCCTTCGGAATGGAACGTTCCATCCAGCTCAAGGCCGATGCCGAAGGCCAGGGTAAGCAGCAGACCTCCTACCTACCACCTTGCAGCACGCAGTACCAGAGGAGCTGCGCTGACACGGCTGTTCAGACCTGTACGATGTGATCGAGTGGGCTGGCGTACAGCCTTGGTGCTCCGGCAAGGTAGCGGTGAGCGGCATCAGTTACTATGGCATGACGGGATACTGGGCTGCCATGCAGCAGCCTCCACACCTAGCTGCCGTGGTCACCTACGAGTCCGCAGTCGACCTCTACCAGGCAGCTCGGAAAGGTGGGATTCTCGGTGCTAATTTCCAAGTTCACTGGTATAACAACACTGTTATCCCCCACCAATCTGGCAGTGGCACACTCTCCGCTGAGGAGCTCGCCGCGAACCGTACTGATTATCCTGGTCTTGTCGCAAAGCACGAGTACCCAGACGGCGACTCGTGGCGCATCCTCAAGGAACTCCGGAAACTCTCTGATATCGAGGTCCCCATCTACATTTCGGGCAACTGGACGGATAGCGAGGTCCACTTGCCCGGCAATATCCGCGCCTACAACGGAGTCTCCTCCGAGCACAAGTGGCTAGAGATGCACACGGGTAATCACCTGGCTTTCTACTACGACGCGGACCACATGGCACGTCAAAGAAGCTTTTTGGACTTCTTTGTGAAGGGAGACGAGAAATCCGGTATTCTCTCCATGCCACGCATTCGACTCATCACTCATCACGGTGACCAAACCCTCTACCGCGAAGAACAGGCATTTCCGCCTCCTGATGCCGAGGACGTCTCTCTTTACCTGACGCCCTCTCAAACACTCAGCCTCGCAGGACCGCCAACAGCTAGCAAGAAGAAATTCGAGTACCCAGGCCTTACAGGTACCTTGACATTCGAGCTCGAATCTCCGTTCACCGAGCCCTTCGAGATTCTCGGGACACCGTACGTTGAGCTCGAAGTAGCCACGGAAGCTGAGGACCAGGATATCTTCTTGACTCTACGCGCCCTCAACAACGTTGGCAAGCCGATGCTCCTTGAGGGAAACCACAGCGAGGTGAATGAGCATTTCGCCAAGGGGTACTGGCGACTCTCGCACCGCGACGAAGTCGACGCGGGTTTCAGAGATCAGAAGGACAAGGTGCCCAAGCAGCCGGTTGTTCCTAGGTCGCCGGTCGAGAAGGGTAAAGTGTACAGTGTTACCATCCCCTTCCTGCCAGCCGCATTCCTGTTCGATCGGGGCCAGAAGCTGTCGCTGGAGATTGGGGCACAGGACACACTTAGTACGATCCCGCCTATGCGACATGACGGGGGGGATAGGGAGCCGGGTAGATTTGGTGGGAAGAACATAATCTTTTCAAATGGACGGCTGGTCCTCCCGAGAGTCAGGAGGACTGTACCGTGAAGATAAGGGGCGTGAGAACCCCACCTTCAAGAACACACGGCAACCTGACTTGCTGGACTTGTTGGAATATGAATTAGCCCTTGCTCGTGGCCTGATTCAACCCGCTGTGCTTCCAGAATCGCCATTCCTGTAATGCCTATTCGTCATATATCGCCTGGAAAGACAATGCAATCCCCTGACTGTATCTCGCTATATCATCAAGACTGTTGTGTGGTAGGATATGTTTGTTGAGATTGCCGGGGTGTAAGCCACCTGTACATACAACTGCTTGTTCTCATCAAATTATGATATCCATCCCGCGATAGGGCGAACCAGCTACAAGATATGGTATGCTAATGATCGAGATAGAGGGCAAAACGTTACAATACGGATGAAACCTCGGATAAGAGTACCCCGTTGCCCCTGTTCTCTCTGCATGACCTCAAGTAGCGTCTTGAAGTTGCCTGCGCCGAAGTCGGAGAAGTTATGCCACTGAATGACCTCGATGAAAGCGGTGCGGGGGGGGTCCAGAATCTTGTCTTCAAGTTCGTGGGGCGACTGCTAGAGTTGGGATGATTTCTATTGGGTACCTTACAGAAAGAAGCAAAGAGAGCTATTCACAATCCAACAGTATCCCTCTGAGGTCCTTTGGGCATGGTAAGTGATCCGCCGTTTCACGATTCCATGACGCTTCTTGCAGTCGAGGAACCCAAAGTCAGTACATGGTGAATAACTTTCTTCTCCTCTCGACATTGGACAAAGCGTCAGAACTGCTCACCCTCAAGCTCCGGCCAGGTCTCGTGAGGTGAGGGTCGAAGCCGAGGATGCGATGGCGATGTTTCCATCACACTTCAATAATCTTCTCTTGACAAGAAACGACCGCGATGCCTCAGAAGCATACGGCTGGCCCTCTCCATCGATGGCTTCAACCCTTCTGAGATCCCCTCGTACTTGGCTTTCGGTCATGAATGCCATGATTGAGGTGGGAAGGCAAGACACGACGGACCTTCTCGCGAGAATGCGTTGGCTTTGGACCGCACCTCCGCCAGGCATCACTTGGGAATTCGTATCTCCCTGTCGTAGCATCATCTCTGCCCCTCGAAGCTATATTCAATCAACTTGAACCTACAAAAAGGGTGCAAACTGACTCCTGCCGTGAGGGCATAATATGATGCCCAACTTGCCATGGGCCACGGCCCGCTTGGCCTGAGGGGCATAGCGCGCGGGGGAGGCTCGCGTTGCTTGGGCCCCTGGACCTTTCAAGTTGATGCGGCAATTCGGCAAGTTCATAAGAGCTTCAATATCCGATGAGCAGATATTGATCGAGCACGAGGCTAGGTGGGCAATGGACGGGGATGCATGCGGCATTGCTGTACGGGGAAAAGCCGATCCCGGCATAATCCGCTCCTCCTCGGCTCCTTAGCTTCCCCTGTCGTCTCGACACATTGACCAACAAGTGAGGTGGATTCGAGTTCCCATCGCTCCCATTATATAGTGTAATGCCTCACGGGTCCCGATGAGGCAGCAACATCACATTGAACCCTCGCACACTGTTCTGCCACCATGGTGAGTTTGGCACCTGTTTTGAATCCATCAGAGAAATCGGCTAAGACGTTCCAGTCTCACATGACTAGCTCGGAGGTCCTAACGGCGACCGAGATTGCCAAGCACGACAACGCGTCGGACTTGTGGATCGTGGTGGCGGGCAAGGTATGGGACGTCACAGAGTTTGCCCCCAGTCACCCAGGGGGCTTTGGGAGTATGTTGAAGCTTGCTCCCCGAGATTGATCGACTGGCACTAAAAAGCATGCAAAGTTATTCTCAAGTACGCGGGCAAAGATGCCACAGATGCGTATTCCGACATCCACCCGCCGACTACCTTGACCGAAAATCTTGGTCAAGACAAGCTCAAGGGTATTGTCAACCGGAATACCATGGAAAAACTGGCCCTCCAGCCTCGCCCAGCGATCACAAAGGCCCCTCCCAACTCAACATCTAGCCACAAGCCTTCGCTAGACAACATGATCAGCACATTCGACTTTGAAGAGGTAGCGTCAAAGACCCTCGCCGCAAGGACATGGGCTTTTTATTCCTCGGCGGCCGCAGACGTCATCACCAAGCGCATGAACGCCGCCTGCTTTGACCAGATCATGCTGCGTCCTCGCATGCTGATCGACGTTACCAAAGTCAGCACTGAGCAAACAATACTAGGCTGCAGAACCGGCGTCCCTTTCTATATCTCACCGGCAGCGATGGCCAAGCTGGTGCACCCAGACGGCGAAATCGCTGTCGCTCGAGGATGTGGAGAAAACAATGTCATCCAGGCCATCTCTACGTCAGCGTCTTACCCTGTGGACGAGATCGTCAAGGCAGGGGGTTCGCACCAGCCCTTCTTCTTCCAGCTGTACGTGAATAAGGACCGTACCAAAAGCGAAGATCTACTCGCACGGGTTAAAGCCCTGGGTGTAAGGGCTATATTCGTCACTATCGATAGCCCTGTTCCGGGCAAGCGAGAGGCAGATGAGCGAGCCAAGGACCAAGACGATGTGCAAGTCCCTGATAGCTTCAAGGGAAAAGGCAATCAAAAGAGCGGTGGCTATGCCCGCTCGATTGGCGGCTATGTAGATGCCTCGCTTAATTGGGGGGATATCGCCTGGCTGCGAAAGCATTGGAGCGGCCCTATCGTTCTGAAAGGCGTCATAACGGCAATGGATGCCAAACTTGCCGTCGAGCATAAGCTAGAGGGCATTGTGCTTAGCAACCATGGCGGAAGAAACCTAGACACAAGTCCGGCGTCAATTCTCGTACTTCTCGAGCTGCAGAAAAGCTGTCCGGAGGTGTTTGATAAACTCGAGGTACTGATTGATGGAGGAATCCGTCGTGGAACCGATATTTTCAAGGCATTATGCCTTGGTGCAAAGGGGGTAGGCGTTGGCAGAGGATTCCTATATGCCCTCGACTATGGTCAGGAGGGCATTGAGAAGTATATTCAGAGTAAGTCCGGGATCTTCTGGTACACTATGGAGAACTGTACTGACGTTTCGGAATTAATAGTCCTCAAAGATGAGCTTGAGACGACTATGAGGCTATGCGGCATCACGCACCTCTCTCAAGTTCACCCGGGATTGGTTAATACGCTTGCTATTGATCACCTGGTGTCGGATTCGGATAATCATCCCTATGCAAGGTGGCGACCTAAGGCAAACTTGTAACGTGGTGCACCGCACCACCAAGCCAGCCACGCCTGGAATTGTCGAATACGAGGATGGCAAGCCAAAATAGATCGCGGATTTTAACATAGACAAGAACAGATTATTTGATTGGTTCGTCTCTATCTCTTGGCATCCTTCCTCCCTCGTCCTCGTTATATTTTACGAGACGAAGCTATGATACTATACCTGCCGTACCTGCAACAGGTCTGCAACACCACTCTGATTCTCGTGGCGCACTCTTGTGACAATCTGGGCAGAGGCATGTGTAACATCTCGGGCGCTGGATAGTTCATCTTGTTTGATAGCTGGAGTAGCCACATTTAACTAGCCTCTTTATTAGTTGAGGACGCGCTCGAATGTTCGTGGTCCCTTGATCACGCTCTCCTCCCTCATTCGCCTGTCTGCCTCACTCGATTGTCCGGTGCTTTGACTCATCTTCATCTACAATTAACCCATTCTTATCTTTCAACCTGAGTCCATTGAGCTTGAAGCTGTGGATCCATCAGTGAGTGGGTGGGTGAGCAGGCTTTCATCTACCAACTGTGACGCTTATATCTCAGACGCATGCTTGGAGAAGCTTCGTCGGCGTTTAGCTCACCAACATCGGACTAGCACACATGGACAAATGTCCTGATCACGGCAATTATGCTACTGTCCCTTGATTTACTATCCAAATGTCCCTGAGTAGTCAGAACGAGAGTTCGTGACGCTGAGGATTGGCAGACTACTGCCAAGACGTCTTTCCATTGTGCAGAAAGTCCTGGCCCATCGCAACGGCTCGGCTGTTGTTCTCTCCTAGCCACTGAGGCTCTAGGCTTTGCAACGCGTCTTCAATCTCGTACGACTTTCCTCCTGCTACGAGCAGGATCTTTCCATGGAAAGGCATGGCAGCTCCGTTGTGGGTTGCGCCGTCACTTCGACCCGCTGTAGCACAGATCAACATGGAGGTTGCCACATCCTCGGGTTCGTTCATCGGCAGTCCCAATTCTTCCCAAGCAGTCGCAATAGCTTTTGTGAGTATTGTTCCTGCCACAGCTTCAGCACTCAATCTCACGGTCATTCAAGTCATGCTACGCACGTGTTGTCCAGGGACAAATAACGTTTACTCGGACGTTATCGTTCTTCAGAGAGGTCATGCGGAGCCCTCGCATCACTCCAATGACGCCATGCTTGGTGGCGAGATAGGGCGTGAGGTCGGCCGTTTCCTTGAACCCTCCTATACTGCTGATAAGGATAAGGTCACCTCCACCGTGCTTCCTCAGGTAGTGCACCGCGATCCGACTGGTAAAGAGGACACCCCTAAGGTTAATATCCACCTCAGGGAGAGGGGGTTCCTCGTTGATATCCTCGATCACTGTGAGCGGATCGGGAAACCTCCCAACGGCAGCGTTTGCGATGGCAATATCAACACGGCCAAAGGACCGCTCTGCCTCTTGAAACAATGCAAGCTGATCTCCATATTTGGATACGTCGCACTGGATGAAACGTAGGTTCTCCCCCAGCAGTGAAACCAAGCTCTTGCCCTCTTCCGCGTTTAGATCGCCAACCACGACCTTTGCACCATGGCCTTTTCCCATAGCAGTAGGTTAGCAGAGCATTTGCCGGAGTAGAGCAACTGCTTAACGCACCGTGAAAGGCAAGGGCTGCGGAACGACCTATTCCACGGGCACCGCCTGTGATGACGACCACCTTGTCCTTGACTGACTTGAACAAGGATTGATTCGGTTCGATGAGGGACATGGTGATTTCGCAAGCCGGGTTTTCAGTTGGGAGCGTTCCAAGATGGAGTGGTCTCTAGTGATCGAGTAAATTACAAAGCGACGGAAAGGGAAGGATCAGTGCTAGTCAGTTGGCAAGTTGGATTCGCCCTTTTGACCTGGAATTATGCGCTCGATGAGCGGCTGGTAGCTGGCGTTTCCGCCACGTCGGGAAGTCCGGACCTTGCTGGGTGGACTAACCCTGTTGAGAATGCCGATGAATGGAGCCGAGGGAGCTAATTACCCCGGACCCGTAGAGCATCCGTGATTGTCAAGTTACCCACCACCCCAGGCCTCTCGGAAGGAAATGTACGGATATGTACAGTACCTATCAGCCTTGACGGGGGTTCCCCAGACTGCGCCGAGATTTGTGGAGCTGAATTACGCAAGGTTTCTGGGGCCGCTTACTATGATACCCCGGCTCCGTACGCAACAACGCTATCGGATGTCTAGAGCATTTTTCCTTCTTGGAAATCCCGACCACCCCGGCCTTGTGTCTAATTGCTCTTGGCTACGGAGGCGTTGATTCGCACATATAATGCGAACTCTTCCCGTGTTCAAGGTCTTTCGTCAAGGTTGTCACCTACATATCCTGACTCAGGCCTCACATCTCTTGACTCTCCGCACCCCACAACTCTCCCTGCAGATCCCCCACATGGGAACTTGGGCTCCACAAGCCAACATGGAGCGAGACTCAGATACCCAGACCACCTCGAAGCAGGCTATCAAGGTCCATATGAAGACATGGATCGTCGTTACTGTAAGGAGCGTCCCTTCGTTGGCACAGGAGCAGGACTGATAGTCGCGTAGTGCGTCAACTTTGCCTACTTCTCCCAACTCACAGCCGTCATCGGTTCGGGCTTCCTAGCCCAGTCAATTGCCCAGCTTCTGGGCGGCGCCTCGCAGACTATGTGGTTCAACCAATCCATCAACCTTCTCGGAATTGCAATCTGTCTGCCTGTATCCCAGATGGCTGATTACTGGGGCAGAAGATGGGTTCTCATAGTGCTACTTGCCATCGGCTTCGCAGGCACTATGGTGGTTGCCCGAGCCCAGAATGTCGCAACTGTCATCGCCGGGTTTGTCTTGATTGGTGTCAGCTATGGTGCCACGCCCGTCTTATTTGCAGTGCCATCAGAGGTCCTCCCTCGGAGCCAACGCTCTATTGCCCAGTCGACCATCAATATGTCATCCAGCATTGGTGGGATCCTCAGTCTGGTCATGGGCGGATTGCTGCTTCGATATAACCACCTTGAAAACTATAGGGTGTTTTTCTACGTTGTGGCAGCCTTCTTTGGTCTCTCATTCTTAGGGATCCTATTTTTCTATTATCCACCGCCAAGAGAAGAGCAAGTCTCGCTCAAGTTGACGCAGAAGCTGCGGAGACTAGACTGGGTCGGCTATGCGCTTTTCGCTCCTGGATTAACCCTATTTTCTATGGCCCTTTCGTGGTCTAAGAATCCATACCCTTGGTCTGACGCACATATCATTGCTCCCTTTGTTCTGGGTATGGTTTTGATTATCGGTTTTATCTTCTACGAGTGGCTGGTCAAAAAGGATGGTAAGCTAGTCTTTGCCCATCACAAGCATCGGATATTATTGCTAACATGTCCGTCGAGGTATCTTCAATCACGCCATTTTCACCCACCGCAATATAGTTATTTCGCTCTTGGCTGTGTGGATTGACGGGGTTTCCTTCTATACCGCTAATACTTATTTCGCGCAGCAGTTCGGCATGTTCACTGGAAGTGATATGCTGATTTCTGGCATCGCATTCGGCATGTTTTTCATAGTTGGCGGTTTGGCCACTATTGTCTTCGGCTGGGCATCGACCAAGTACCGGATTACTCGTATGCCTGGTATACTCTGTTTGGGCCTAATAGTCCTCTTCAACGTTCTCATGGCGACGACCACACCATCAACGCCTGAGGCAAACTATTGGGGCTATGCCATCTTTGCTGGTCTTGGCCTCGGAGGTACCATACCAACCTTCATGGTCGCTGCACAGTTGACGACGCCACCGGAATTGATCTCTCTGGTATCCGGACTTGTCAGCGTCGCTCGGCCAATCGGCGGCGTGGTTGGCCTAGCCATTAATAACGCTATTTTCCACGAGAGCCTTTCCACGGAGCTACGCAAGAAGATCTCAGCAGCAGTTATTCCTCTTGGATTTTCGGCTTCGTCTCTCGATGCTCTGATCTCAGCTATTACAGGTGGCGACGAGGGAGCACTCTCTGAGATCTCTGGTGCGAGTCCCGACATCATCGCAGCAGCCCAGGGTGGTCAGATGAAAGCCTACGGAATTGCGTTTAGAAACTGCTGGATTGCCGCCGCGTGTTTGTGCCTACCTGGCGTATTCGGTAATTATTCCACCTATACCAGCCCGGTTGTTGACTTCTGCTGACAAGCTGCCGTGCCAGTCGCCTTTTGGGCTATAGACCCTCGCTCAGAGTTCAAAGATCATATCGATGCCCCCGTTGAAGTTGAAGTTGCAGAGGAGCAGAAGCGGTTGGAGGCTCTTCAAGTAGAGGATGTAAAGGATGAGTTGAAGATTGGCAAAGATTGAACAGGAGTGTTTGTTGACACGAGATGTCGGATCTTTCGTAGATAGCAACTCATGACCGCGCAGTCTGCACGCAAATATAGCCCCTGTTTTTCGCCGCCATCAAGCTCATAGCAACGAGGATGCTAATAGTCACGATGATACCAGCTTTGTTCCATTTGCCACATAGGCTGTGGATGGAAACGACGAACATGCCCAGGTCTCTCTCTGTGGGCGCTTAAGAATAGTTGCAACATGCTTATCTCTCGTGAGCTCTTGAACCCTGACACGACGCTGCCTTAGGGCTAACCGGATTGGCTATCGTTTTTTCTTCTTCTTTTATCTAGGCCGGAAGCATGATGATGCTCGTTATAGCTAGCCAGCGGACTTTGCCATTTTGTCCGCGGCAGTGGTTTATCACGATGGTTATCCGCTCGGCTGGCAGCGGAGATGGTATGGCTCAAAGTTGCCACATATCGAAGCAAAATAGGACAACCACGACGTCCAAACGTGGCTCAATCGGCCTTAACTATATAAGAGATAGCACCTTGAACATTACAAAGGCGAGCAACTAGCCCTTGGTGAGCTCTCTAAAGCCATAAAACTACCCTCTTGAATTCCAGCGCAGTTCTCTCAATTGTCAATTTAGTCTTGCCTATTTACCCCCTGCTTGAAAAACCACCTGCTAGATACCCATGTTCTGAGGGATCAACTCAATAAGATATCCGTCCTAGCTCATTTAGTATATACGCTGCAAAGTCCTGCCTTCAAGAGCATAGGAGTCTCATGACACCAGCTTCAGGACGACAGATATTCATCATGTATGCGACTTACCGGATCTTTTACGTATGCAACATTTTTGTACATCTCCCTGAAGGTCGCGTGAATCTCGGTATCGGTTCCTTTCTCCTCCACGCCTATTCCACGCTCGTTCTCCCACTCGGTGATTGAGATGGACGCACGCGTAGTCTCTTCTCCAAGGTCTTTGACGACTTCGACACCGTTCTCTTTCAACCTTTTAAGGGCCGCTGGCACGTCAGGGACCGTGAAGCCCAAGTGGCCGAAGCCTAGATTCGGAGGGTCATTGCCATTCTGGTAGTACCCCTCCGGCTGGTTCTCTGACCCCTTGACATGGCCTAGCTCTAGAAGACCCTCGAACTGCCTCAGATTCTTAACAGTGTCCGCGCCGAACTTCTTGAGGTCTGCCTGATGCTCAAACGTTTTAGGGTAGCCCAGGTACCATGCATTGACAGGTCCAATGTTCATTGCGAAAATGGTGCGCATACCCATAAGGTCGATATAGAAATGCAATGATTTTCGTGGATCGCGAATTCTCAGCATGGTGTGATTCAGCCTATAGCCGATGGTTGGATCGTTCTGAGAAAGAGGCGGCTCATCGCCGAGGCCGTTTGGGAGCAATTGGCCATGCGGCAGGTCAGGCAGTGTGGCTTGCGAAGGCATGATATGATGGATCAACTAACTGGCCCCAGAATTGACCTTGCAAGTGGACACAAAAGTCCTAATGCGGGCCAAACTTAAATACATGCGGGGAGTAGCTGATGAGTGCTGGCTCTTTGAGAGCACATTTGAAACATTCCTTCACGGGACGAACTCGAGACCCCCGCGCACGAAAAGCCGACGCTTCCGGCTGAAGGCGGGGTGAAGTACCGCAGCACAAGACCCCGCACCAAAATAGCCGAAGTTCCGGGGAGGCTGGGTGAGTTTGTTCCATCGTGTTCCATGTCTTCCGTGTCTTCAAGTTGAGGGGATCTCGGCTTTGTCCGTGGTCTCAGATGATTCGCCGAGCGCCCGACAATTACGCGATCGGTGGAAAATAACACGTGAGACCCCGCGCAACGCCCATTTCGACACTACAAGCCGTTGTGGGATAGTCCACTGAGCTAAACAACAGATGCCGCACTGGCTTGAGGTAACTTCTGGAGGATAAATCTTATCGTGGTTTGAATCGAGGGGACAGTAAGTCAATCCGCAGCTCAATTTCATCTTTGCGGGATGGGTTGAATGCGAACGGTAGATAATAGGTGCGTGGGAGGAGAAACAACTCCCAACTAGAGCACACAAGTCCTGTATACGCTGAATGCATTTCTGCATCTTCTTTAACGTTTTCAAGTCACTATCGATGCGAGTTGCCGACGGCCCGAAAGTCGGAAGTGGAAATCTATCAAGGCCACGGTATGCAAACCATGTCAAGGAACGGTTGATTGATGATTAGGTATAAGAACTCCTACCTGAGACTACCCTGGCGGGCCTACGGAACTTGTGTTCACGAATCAATTGTTGATAATGCATCAGGCGGGCGGGAGGCGCACTCCCATGTGCCGGTAGCCCAGCATCCCTCCGTCTTTCTTTGTGCACCCTGCCTGGGCCTGTAACAAAATCCGCTCGCTTAGTGCTCAGAAGCCCAAGTGACCGAAGTCCCCTTTAGTTCCTGTTCTTGCCGGAAATTCCAAGTTAGGCATAACGCCCCCGGATGATGCGACATATCAACCGCACACTACTTGAGCAGACGCAGCAAGACTCGGCCTGTGATTGGCTACTGAGGAATCTGTAAAGATGGAACACCCCTTCCAGTGCGGGGAAGCTGGCTCAGATCTCAGTTGTGGCTCCCGCGTGGAGCCGGTCATGTGAGATGGTTGGGACCACTTAATAGGTGCATGACAAGTGCTTGTATTTGGGCGATATGGTAATACTAGGTAATGTTAAGACTAACTCTTACGCGTAACCTATGATGCTTATTTATACTTATTTCTTATATATTTCTTTAAAATATTATTAAGTTATATTTAAATTAAGTTAAATCTTAATTATAACTACTTAAAAGAAGTAAAAAGATATAATTATATAGTTATTAAAGTAATTTTTTAGAAATATTATATATATAAAATTTTAAGTAATATATTTAAGAATAAAAAAAAAAGATTATTATAATTACTTATATATATAAAAGCAGGACAGCTTTTATAGTAGCTAGTAAAGGCTACTTAATTAATATTAAATAAAAGAAATAAAACTAAAAGCTATTTATATAAGTAAGATAAAAGCTATTTATAAGTAAAAGAAAAGAAGGGGTTCTTTCTAATATTATAGAAATAAGCTTATAGTAAAGAAATAAGCATATATTAAAGAAATAAGCTTATATTATAATAAGAAAGATTTAAAAGAATTAATAATAGATTTGAAAATAATATAAAATAAGTAAATAAAATAAATATATGTATATATAATAAAATTAAGTTATAAAAAGATTAATTAGCTAGATAAGGTGTTATAAGTTAATAAAAATAAGTTATAAAGTGTAAAATACCTTATTTCTAAGAAGGTCTTTTATAAATAAAATTCTAGAAAAATAAGCTTATAAGATATAAGCCTAGGATTTTATTACCCTATACTTTAGCTTATGCGCTTCCCTATAAACTGCTCACCTAAGCAATAGCTGCTTAGATAAGCAAGATATAAGGGAGTGTTAATATTGCCCTTTCTGGGCTTATTTCCCTTTTAGGAAGGTCACGTGATCTCGGACTTAGGGTTTTATCATAAGCCCGATAACGCCGTTAAACCCGTCTCCTTCTATAGGGTATTTCCTATCCGGTTTTAAATATCCTAGTTTAAAACCCTATAGGTTTTAACTTCTATTATGCTATAACTCGGCTTCTAGTTATCCGTTGCTAGCAAAACTAATAGGATTTCAAAGCCCGGAATTAGGGCTATCCGACGGTATAACTTCTATCCGAATCAGGCTAATAGATTCCGAGCAATTTGCTATATAAGCTATAAACCCTCTCTTAGAAATAGCTCTTAAGATCATAATTTAATTCAGATAACAAGACCACCAATAAGAAGCTGGCCTTCTACCCTATACCTCTATTTACTTTGTGACCCACTTTTATTAGCTAATGATTTACTACCTAGCTAATTAGCTATTTGTTAAGACTAATTCCACTGCCTATTTACCTCCTATCTCTATTACCTACCCTATAGTCTTTGAAGACTATATAGCCTCTATTCTTCAGTCTTTTATATAAAGTAAATAAAATTATAAAATAAAGAAAAAGCTTTTATTAAATAATTTAAGAGTTATAAATATTAAGGTTTTTAATTTTAAAGAAAAAATATAATATTAAAAAACTAGTTATTTTTTATGGCTAATAATTAAAAAGCTATTAGCTTGATTTAATAAAAGAATATATTATTGACTTATTATTTTCTTAAGTTATATTTAATTATTTAAAATATTAAAAATTTATAAATAAAAATAATAAACTTAATAAAAAAATATAAAATTATTATAGGCTTAAAGTTAAAATATCTTAAATTAAATATAAGCTACTTATAAAATAAAGCTAGCTTTAATAAAAATATTAACTTTAAAATAAACCCTTAAGTTTAAAGTTATATAACTTATATTATATAATTAAAATCTCTTAATAAAGGAATTATATAACTTTTTAATTATTAGGTTATAAAAATAACTATAGCTTAAGTAATTATATATATAAAAAGTATTAATAATATATTATAAAATAATATAATTAATTCTATTGATATATATATATATATTTTTTTAATATTAAAAGTTTTAAGATATTTAAAAATTATATTAATTTAAAAGTAAAATACTTAATTTAACATCTTATTACTTATATTATAAAATTATATATATTTTAAAGCTTTTAATATTATATTATATATTATTATAATAAGATAAAGTATTAAAATAAGTTTAAAAATTTAATTAAAGTTTATTAATATATAATATATAAAATAAATAAATAAGATAATTAAATATATAAAATAAAAATCTTAACCTCTAAGATTAAAATTGTAATAAAAATATTATAAGTTATTTAATTAATTAAAATTACTTATTATATTTTTCCTTAGATATGTTAATTATTACTTAATAAGTCTTTATATTATAGCTAAGCTTATTATAAATATTATAATATTAAATCTTAATTATATTTACTTTTTTTAATTATTATTCTTTAATAATTTAGCTATTAGCTATATATTAATATCTATTTAATTAATTATTTATCTTCTTTCTTTTATTATTATAATCTCTTTTCTTTATAATTTAATCCTCTTTACCCTCTAGTATTAGCTTAATATCTTATTTACCTCTTAAAGGTCTTAGATCTTAGCCCTTATTAAAGCTATCTTATATATAATTATTCTTATTTCTTATATAAGAGACTTTAATACTTTAAGAATTAATTCTAGAGAATTACTTTAATGCCTTTTAATTTATTTTTTAATATATTTAAATTAAAATTAAGTCTTAAATATAATCTTTAAGGTCTTTAAGACCTAAGGGGTTAAGGATTAAGTTATCTTCTTAATTAATATTAGAGTTTATACCTATATATTAAGCTATAAGATTATATTTTTTAGA